GTTCTGTCTCCTTGGTAGCCTATGCCCCTATGGCCTCCATGCCCAGCACCTGCCTTGGGATCCCCTCGCCTGCTGGTGGGACCCCGGCATTGATCACATATCTTGGGGAACCCAGGTTTCTTCTCCAGGGAGAGCCCAGCTCATGCCATTGTGTGAGAGACAGATTCATGGTACCGACCACCACGAGGCTTTAACCTCAGCATGAATTGAAAACTCTGGCAACAGCTGTGGGAAATTGGATTGTGACAAGAGGGTCCCTCTTTGCAAATAAGGCAAGAAAGGCCAATATAGAATGCTCAAGTGCCTTCCCAGTGAGGCTTTCCACACAGTGGAAGGGATTAAATCCTTTCATGTCCTTTTAAATTGCTGCCAAACATTAAAAAATTAGATTTTTAGTTTTGTTTGGAATAATTGTACAATATGCTGTTGTAAAATATGAAAAATTATAATGACATTGTAGAATAATACCATGCAAAGATATTCTTTGTTCTAAGCCAATGGCAATTCAAATTCAAACTGGTTATCAATTTCTTTTTGTATAGACAAGGTCTTAGTTACATTCTCTGCACCTCTCCCAGGAGCAAGTAGTGATATTCCTCTACTTTGGTGCAAGCCAGAAACCTCTCTTTAATTTTATACACAAAGGAGAATTGGTTTGATTTTGTGTCATACAAGAAGGGAAGCTGGGTGGCAACACCTGTGTAATTATACTTCCTAGACCCACCCATTTTCTTCCTGGATGACCAACGTGCTTAGTATTATTGGTGACTACATTGGCAAGGGATCAGCCCACATAAGGGCTTTTACCCATGAAGGGTCAGGAACATAAGTCCTAAACACTTCTACATTTGTCCCAGGTAATATTACTGTACAGATGATTACTGCTAACATGGCAAGAAAGACATTCTCAGGTGTCAGGCATCTGTACCGTCTTCTTTACCATGCGCCAAATAAGTTAACTGCTTTCCTTTGCCATTAACAATACATGCCTATAAACCTTCTAAAATATTTATATTTATTAATTTTTATTTGATAAGGCTTTCCATGCAATTTCAAGTTTATTAAATCTGTTTTAAATCATTTAAGAAGAGAATAAATTTCTTGTATTTCTCCGGGCCCTTGGAGCTTTCCAAGAATCATCTCTGTTAAGGCCTTGAAATTTTAACATGGAAAAAACAATCAAACAAATATCTATATCCATATGTGATTTAAATATTATAATACCTTTTATTATTATCTTAAGATATCAATTAAATTTAGACTAGTTTTTGCATAGAAAATATTTGGTTGAGATCACAGAATTAATCCTCTTTTTTAATTAGGCCAATAATAAGCAACTTATTTTTAATTCCTAATTATTAGAGAAAACACACTTTTTATTTTCTCAAAAACAAGTTATACTTTAGGTATTTTAATTACCACAATTATATAATTTCTTCCAATTTAATTTGCACTTTGAACCTTTAAAGCTGGCAAATCAAATATATATTGCATGTCCTAGATTAATAACACTTTACATTTCTAAGAAAAATACAAGACATAATCAATTAAGAGCTTCCATTCTGTCCTCTAGATTTTTTATGAGGCAAATTTAAACTTTACTTTTTTATTTTTATAATTAAGCAAACTTCCACAAAAATTTTTGCCACAGGAATTTGGAGGAAGTTTGTAGCCATTCAAATGCAAGTTACCACATTCCTTAGCTTACTGGGAGAGTGGTCTTCCTTATAGGATTGCCTGGTGTCTCCCTTCCCCCCACATCAAGCTTACTTTGGGAGAAGTTTCAACAGATCTGGCCACACATTTTTTCATGCTTAATAGATAAACACAGATCTCAAAAATTTTTTAACTATCACCCAATTTGGCCAAGATCAGCATTTCCCTGTGAATTCTTTTATAATTTTTAAAGAAAACTTTAAGTAATCTCATTGCAGGAGAGCAGATAGCTTTGCCCTCTCCTGCCACCTTTGAATTTCTCCGCACCAGAGGCGGTTTCAGCAGTGGAGTCTCATTTCTTATTACAGATTTTAAATTCCAAATACAAACTAAGACTTTAATTTGCACAATAAACCACATTCTTTAATTATACAAACCAAAATAGTATAATAAAGTTTACTTTATATTTATAACCTAATTCTTCCCCATTAGCCTGGCTGAAAAAAGGCGTTCCCAACCTACTTACAGTTCGCGACTCTGCAGCTGGCGTGGGCTTTGAGTGCGGTGAAATTCCCTCACCTTTTTTCGGTGAATTTCCCTCACCTTTTTTCTGGTGAATCTTCCACACCTTTTCTCGGTGAAATTTTTTCCTTCCTTCGCTCTTAGGCGAAAAATACCTTCTCCTCCAGAAGCCCCATGTTGGGCGCCAGATATAGGACTCTCTTTCAAGGCCTGCGTTGAAAGAGTTCCAATTCAGGGTTCAGGTTCTGGAGAAGGGCCGCACACAAATGAAGAGACTTGAAGAAATTCAATTTGGCGATTTGGGGGGCCAGGCGGTAGTCCAACTCTAGTGGGAGAACTACTACTGCTCTGGCCCTGCCATCCCCTTTTATTGAGGCTTTGGGGAAAACATCTTAATCAACATAAACAGAAATTTACATGTAGCCCCTGGGCAGGAAATAACAGAAACTTACACAGGACAAATAAAGTAGATTTTGCTTCAGCTAACATAATCTCAACTAAAGGTTAGAGCAATTAAGGTTGTTGACCAGCCTTCCTGGCTTCCTGTCAACATCTCTTTTTCAGTGAAACTGATTTGGTTTCCAGCAAAAGCCCTCAACAGACATCTGTGGTGGGCGGCCTCCCAGATGGCCAGCAGTGACCCTTTCCTCTTGAATTTACCACTGTGTGGGACCCCTCCCACAGGCTGGTCTGTTTGACCAACAGAAGATGGCAAAGGTGATGACCTCTGACTTCTGAGGCTAAGTCATAAAAGTCATAGACCTTCTGCCTTAATTTTTTGAAATATTACCCTGGAGGAAGCCAGCAGCCATGCCCTTAGGGCACTCAAGCCCTAATGAGAGAACCACGTGGAGAGAACCTGAGGTCTCCCACCAACACGCAGCACCCCTGGGACTTGCAAGCAGGCCACTTTGGGGGTGGATCCTCCACTCTGTACCCCTCAGGATACCTCACTGGAACACCATCAGAATGAAGTACCTGAAACACCTGCTAAGCCACTCCTAACCCCTGAACACAGATGCTATGAGAGGTAATATGATTGTTAGTTTTAAGCCACAAAATTTGCTATAATGAATTGATTTCATGAACATTTCATTTATTTTAAAATCCATGAAATCTCCACCAGGTGTTGAGTCCATACATATTTGTTCTTTGTTTCTTGCACTTCGTTATACCTGACATAATATGCATTCAATACATGATAAATGGATGAGGGAACAAGAATTCAAGAATTGAGACTGTAGCTTGAGCAGAACAGATAAGTGTACTTAAACGAGATTGCTTAAGTGCACAACATTTCCTTTTCCATACTTCCTCCTACTTTATTGGAGATAGAGGTTATGAAGGTCATGAAGGTGAGGTATGAAAATTATATATTTTGGAAAATTTGAAAAATACAGTTAAATTAGTGGTGTCTGTGGACCTCCATTTAAATGTAAAAGCATAGTCAAGAATGAAACAAAAGGTTGTTTTTATCAAACTTTAGTAATAGCAAAATGAAGCACTTCTTCCTCTCCACTGTGTTGCAATCACAAAGGCCTGTGTCTGCCCCTGCACCTGCCAGGCCTGCTGCTGCCTTGGCCCTGCCATAATGTCATGGCCTCAGATCTTTGCATAATTGGCTTTACCTTATTTTTTAGGTCTCAAATATCGCCACCTTAGAACTTCCCTTATCCCATCATCCCCAAGTCACCCTTTGTACTTTGCCCATGGTCGTTATGGCTTCCTAAAATTATCTCATTTGTTTGCAATAACCAGTTACTATTTGTCCTCCCTCTAGGACAGAAGCTTTTGCCTGACACTAGTTTATCACAAATCTAGGACCCTGTGTGGCACGCCCAGGACATGCTGAATCCTCGCTTGTACTGACAGGATTCATTCTCTGGATTAAAAGTAAAGTTTTTACTTAGGAAAGCCTACACCTTTTCATTTGTTTCATTTTCCATTTCTTCTGTAATTTAAAAAATTATCCTTTGCCCAGTTTTTTATTTTTAAGAAATCCATTTAGACTTAAGATACCAACCCTTTCCTGGACTGTCCGAATTTATGGCAAATATTTTCCCCAGTGTGTTTGCCTATTGATTCTGTCCCGGTTTTCCTTGGACAGAAGTTCTAATTCAAGTGAAGCGATGCTGTCCACAGGGGTTTGTTCCGTTGAGCAGGGCCTTTGGGGTTATTTACTTAGAAACGTGACTTTGGGCAAGGAGGCCAATGACTTAGCGAGCAAAACTCAAGTTTCACAATCGTATTTTTTCTTTCTTTTACGAAATGGGGATAATGAAGACGTCACAAAATTGTGAGGATTAAATGAAACAAAGGATGTACAAAGGCTCAGGCAAGGTGCACACTGGCAGTGCTGGGTAAGAATGGCCATGCTGATTCTTCCTGGTTCAGGTGAAGATAGAATTTTCTCACGTTTCGATCCTTTTATTCTCCAGGGATTAATTTTGGTGCCCCAACAACTGATGTTAACGCCCAGAATGAACTCGGGGTTTCGGTGAGCAAGCTTATTTTCTGAGTGCTGGGAGCATCAGCCCACTAGTGGCTGGAGTAGGTCCTCCTGGGAGAGGGCGGGGCGGACTGTGCCGCGGCGGGCGGGCCTGCGCCTCGGCCCCGCCCCCTCCGCACACAGCCACTCCCCTGACGGTCTGCCCCGCCCCTCCCTTTGCCCAATTGGCCCCCCCCACCCGTCCCCTCCGCACTCAGCCACTCCCCTGACGGTCTGCCCCGCCCCTCCCTTTGCCCAATTGGCCCCCCCCACCCGTCCCCTCCGCACTCAGCCACTCCCCTGACGGTCTGCTCCGCCCCGCCCTTTGCCCAATTGACTCCGCCCTGCCCCGCCCGACCCGGCCCGGCCCGGCCCGACCTGCCTGGTTCCGGTGACGCCGCGGGCCGCCGCCTGCGGACTTGCTTCCTGGTGTCGCTGGAGCGCAGGTGAGCGGGCCTGTGCTGGGCGGTGCGCGGCCCGCGGGGTGGGCGGCGGGGCCGCGCCGGGGACGACGCGGGGAAGGTGAGGGGGCGCGGGCCGCGCTGTGGGGCCTGCCGGGCGCGAGGAAGCGCGGGGGCACCGGCCGCCGACCCGCATCGGCCGCGCGCTGGACCTCGGTCCGCGGCAAGGGCCCTTCCCGCGCGGCGCCTCTCACTGGCCCGCCGACCTGGGCCGGCGGTGGGACCTGCGGTGGCGGCCTCCGCGGCCCCAGCGCTGGGCACCGGGTGCGCGCGTTCGCCCCGGGAAGCCCGCAAGCCCGGCGCACGTGCTGTGGTTCCTGGCTCCCCGAGGGGAGCTGTCTCCTCCCCGTCCGGTGGGAATGCGGGCCTCCAGGCTTCAGAGCACAGGCGCGGGCTTGGGGAGGGCCTCATTCCTCTCCGGGCTCAGTCTGTGCTGTGAGGGGTTAGCTGTGTGACGTTGGGCGGAAAGGGGCGATCAGAGACCTGGTCCCTGTTGGGAAGGTTAATGAGATGTTTGTACCACAGCAAAGCGTTCCTGCTGCGGCCACTAACGGGTAAGCGCACTGCAGCCCTGGGCCACAGCCTGGGTCACACAAACCTTGTGCAGCCAGAGCTCAGGTCAGGGACGCAGGCAGGATAAGAAATTAAAGAGCAGTTATGGCCACACCAGTGCTGTCATCTGGGGTGAGACTTTTTCAGAAGGCATTGGATAAATGCTCTTCACTCCGGGCTGAAATGATGCTGCGGCCAGTCTCTGTCTCTGGACTGGACACGCCGAGGCTCCGGAGGAGAGGGGCCTGCTGGTTCAGGGCTGCTTCTCAGATCCAGCTCCTAAGGAATGGGACAGACCTGTGCCCGAGGCATGAGGACAGGGACAAGAGCGGTCTTCGCCTTTTAAGGGCTGCTAATGACTGGACACGTCTCCTAATTTCACCTGGAACTGTGAACACTGATTAACCTGTCATGTCAAACTCTCCGGCCATCTGCCCTGTTTATTTGGCCCGTGTTAGCCTTTGAGTTTAACACGCTTGTTATAGACAATGACCTTCAACCCTCATAACTTTAAGAGAGGTTAAGCTAAGGATTACACGTAGGCTCTCTGCAATGCTGGCACTGCGTTCGGAATGTTTCCTCCGTGTTGTCTGTCCCCATACTCAGTTCCTGCCGAGCCCAGCCTATCACTTCTTGGCCCTGTAGCTTTAGAAACTAAAAGCTGTGCTTTTTTTCTCTACTGTTAGAGTTTTCTGTTGCAAAACTTTCTTCAGTCATTGATTTTTTTAATGTTTTTTTTATTGATTTGAAAGATAGAAACATCAATTAAAAACAAATATCAATTGACCGTCTCCTGCACTCCCCAAGCCTACAACCTCAAGCATGTGACCTGACCAGGAATTGAACCTTACTTCTTGGTTCATGGGTGGGTGCTCCACCACTGAGCAACCCTGGCTGGGCTGTCATTGATTTCTTATGCTAGAAAGTCAGCAAACGGAGGTTAGCCCCGGACATAAAACACCATTAACTAGCATTTTGACCTTCAAGGAGTTGTAATGCTCCTGGAAAGCGTGAATTCTCAGGTAGATCCCTGAGGGAGGACCAATGCCACCCGCAGTCTGAGGATTCCAAATGTGGGCATTCCTTTAATGTGCCCATTGTTGCCTCCACCTGCGGGCTGACTGCATGCCTGCCACTGTTTTCCCTTCAGCTCTTCGCTGTCTGGGAAGGATTGCTAATCAGATTAGAGTCCAAACCTGTAAGACACTTGCTGGAAGAATCCTTGAAAGATTGGCTGAGAAAGAGGTTTAAATTAGCAGTTACAAGTAAAGCATCATATATTCTATTTAACTACATTATTTAAGTTTCTGATATGAAAATGAAAAGCAGACATTATGCATACATTTTGGTAACCTTCTGATAACAATTGTGCTGGCTTCACTATTTGAGGAAGCTGGGTGGGTGGAGTAAAGTGTTGGATAATCTGAGAGAAGGAGAGAGGTTGTTTATTCTTTTAACACAGCAGCTTACCAGTTTGAAGTTTTAAAAAGACATTAAAATTAGCTGTAGCTGATTTGGCTCAGTGGGTAGAGTGTCAGCCTGAGGAGTGAAGGGTTCCTGGTTCAGTTCCAGTCAAGGTCACGTCCCTGGTCCGGTTGTGTGCAGGAGGCAACCAATCAATGTGTTTCTCGCGCACAGACTTTTCTCTCTGTCTTTCCCTCTCTCTGAAAAATTAATGGAAAAATATCCTCAGGTGAGGATTAAAAAAAAAAAAATACATTAAAATTAGCATAATTAGTCAAGATCACCAATATAATTTGGCATATGAGTAATTTCCCCATGAAAATAAAAGGAAATATTGCATATTCATTTTCGAAAATCATTTTGAAATGTCCTCTTACCAAGTGGATGTATTGTGCCTGGTTCCTGTGGAAATTACCAAAGCAGCGATGTGGTAATGGGCTCCTTCAGGCTCCTTCGGTTTTCTGAGCTTAGTGGACCCGCTCTAGACTCTGGTGACCGGCATGTTAAAGTAGATCCCTGAAACTGGAGAGAGGAACTTGCCCATCCATTTTTCTTCTATTTAGGGGCTAGGAAGCGAAAATCAAAGCAAGTATTTCCCGATGGTGTTGTCACAATAATTTATAAAGTGTCTAAAATTGCCCACCCCACCTTCAGGACGTCTTGCTTCCTTTCTCTGCTGTATTTTTCTCTTATGCACTTCCTACCACCTTCATGTACTACATACTCACCATCTCTCTAGTGTAACCACAGGCGGCGGGATGTCTGTCTGGTGCCCTGTCCCCCAGAACCTTAGCCAGTGCCTGGCACACAGGCCACCTGGAAGGCTGTGCAGAAAGGTGCTGAGTGCACGGACAGGACCACTCGACAGCTCCTGACCAGGAAGTATGAGGGGTTTGCCGAGAGCTGCAAACAGCTGAAATGGAGAGCTAAGCAGCCAGACAAGGCCTGCTCTTATCTATGTATATAAAAGGCTAAGTGACCAACCGTACATCTGTCCGGCCAATGGCCGGTACCGAGGCTGCACACTGGCAATTTTTTTTATTTATTTATTATTTTTTTTAATAAGTTTTTATTGTTCATATTATTACAAATGTTCCTCCGCCCCCCCACCATTGCTCTCCTCCACCAGGTTCCCACCCCGCCCTCTGCCCTTTCCCCTCTCCCCATTGTCTTCATCCATAGGTGCACAGTTTATGTTCAGTCTCTTCCCACGCCCCCCTCTCCCCTTTACCCCAAGAATCGTCAGTTCACTCCCCTTCCATACCTCTGATTCTATTATATTCAACAGTTAATATTGTTCATCAGATTTTTTTAATTTCCTTGGTTTTTAGATTCACTTGTTGATAGTTATGTATTTGTTGTTCATAATTTTTATCTTTGTTTACTTTCTCTTCTGAAAGAACCCCCTTCAGCCATTCATATAATTCTGGTTTGGCGGTGATGAACTCCTTTAGCTTTTTTTTATTAGTGAAGCTCTTTATCTGCCCTTCGATTCTGAGTGATAGCTTTGCTGGGTAGATTATTTTTGGCTGTAGGTTCTTGCTATTCATCACCTTGAATATTTCTTGCCATTCCCTTCTGGCCTGCATGGTTTCTGTTGAGAAGTCAGCTGACAATCCTATAGGTGCTCCTTTGTAGGTTACTACCTTCTTTGCTCTTGCTTCTTTTAATATTCTCTCTTTGTCTTTTGCTCTTGGAATTTTAATAATGATGTGTCTCGGTGTGGTCCTCTTTGGATTCCTTTTGTTTGGAGTTCTGTGCGCTTCCTGGACTTGTAAGTCTAATTCTTTCACCAGGTAGGGGAAGTTTTCTGTCACTATTTCTTTCAGTATGTTTTTGATATCTTGCTCTCTCTCATCTTCTGGGGCTCCCATAATTCTGATGTTGGTTCGCTTGAAGTTGTCCCAGAGGTTTCTTACATTATCTTCAATTTTCTGGATTCTCTTGCCTTCTAGCTTCTGTGGAGGAGTGTCTTCTGGCTCTTTATGTTCCAAATCTTTGACTTGATTCTTGCGATCTTCCCTTCTGTTTTAGGACTCAGTAAAATATTTTTTATTTCAGACAATGTATTCTTTATTTCTTGTTGATCCCTTATCATTTCTTGTTGACTCCTTATTAATTCTAGTTGATCTCTTTTCATATCCTCATAGGCCTTATCCATCTTTTCTAGGAAATTCTTGAAAAACCTTATAAGCGTAGATTTGAACTCTATATCCAGACGCTTTTTGTCCTCCATTTCTCTTGTTTGTGATCTATTTTGTTGTCGCATTTCGCAGTTACAGATGGGACGGGGTTTCAGGGTGGAGCCTGCAGCTTTGGCTTCTGTCAGCCCCGCCCTATGCGGGTCCGTCAGTGCTCGCTGCCAGCGCCTCTGAGAGAAAGGTGCCCTCGATTTTCGCCTGCTGCCAAACAGTCTATGCTCTCCCCTAATGAGCCCGGTATTGGGGTTCAGTTCAGTTGGAAGTGGAGTTGGAGGTGGCGTTCAGAGCAGTCTGGAGCCCCAGTCTCCTTCCCGTCAGGGCAATCTCGCGGCACAGCCGACCGTCCCTTCTCTGCGCGCAGTGTGCGCGCCTCCGGGACCTCCTTTCGCCACTTCCCCGGGGTTCCGCCTTACAGCCCGGCTCCCTATGGCTGAGCCTGAGTCCCCGGGGTCTGGCCCAGAACCGGGTTCAGAGCAGTTGGGGGCCCAGCACAGTCGGAGCTTTTCTCTCCTTTCCGCTCGGGAACGCCCGCCAGGCACTCGGCCTCCCTCCTCTCTGGCTCCGTCCTCTCCGCGCGCCGCGTCTCCGTACCTTGGGCTTTTCCAGCTCCTCCGCGCCTCCTTCTGGTTTTCTCCTTGCTTCTCGCTGTAGAATTTCCAGTCAGTCAACCTTCCTGTAGTTCTGGGCAATGTCCGTTTTATATTTTAGTTGTATTTTATTGAAATTGTTGTGTGCGGCTGCGGCTAGGTGTTCACCTGGGCGCAGCCA